TGTCTTAGTCTGAATTCCCCTCAATTTACTTCTGTCTTTCTGGTCCTCAACTGCTTACAGAAGAATGAAGAATTATATTGCTTTATCTCATTTTTTCCTTATTAGAATGCTGGCAAAAGCCCATGGTCATAGAAAACAGACCACAGTTTAGGCTATTCAACATTTTTGTCTATTCATATTATTTAACCCTTGTGCTATCAGGGCTCTAAAGTGTTTCTATAACAAATGGATATTGTGATGCATGTAATTTGGGACAGGAATTGCACTGAAATAATGGCTGTAGGGCTGCAGCACCAAACACTCAAAAGTGAAAAAATGGCAAGTTTAGGCAGCATGTTTAGCTCTGTCTAAACACAATTTTTTTTTTCTATGTAGATGCTGTCTGAAAAGAAAGTCACTCATCTGTGTAAGACATTGTGTCTTCTCCAGTTCTTACTCTTTTCCCAAATCATTTTTGTTTAAATTTTCTTTAAAAAAAAGTGACATAAGAGTGAGCACAACTCTAATTTGAGTGGGGTTTTTTTGTTTGTTTTGTTTTGTTTTTGTTTTTTTTTTAAATAGTAGTAAAAACACCAAGACTTCAGACTGAGAGGTGTATTCAGCTTTAGTAAGGGACAGTGCTTCTGCATGTATCTATAAAGGTTAGACCCTGCTCACTCCTGCACAGATCTGTAAGAAAGGAAAGGTCCTTGGAGCCTGCCTGCAGAGAACAAATGCACTGATGTATGATATACCTGTCCATGGGCAATTGCAAAATGACACTGATATGTTCTCTACTATGCTGATGTAGAGAAAACTTGATTTTCCCCTTCTCTAGTGAGGGAGTTATCCAAAATAAAATAAATGATGGTATCTTTAGAATTACTTCATATTAGAATATATATATAATTTCTTGTCTGCAATTTATCTTTATATAGCAGAACTGACAAAATATTTTGGCTAGACTATAGGGAGAGCAAGCAGAATTTATTAAATAAAGTAAGTAATCTCTTAAGAAGTAAATGAACAAATTCTGTTGGACTGGAAATCCACTTTAAACAAACATGAATTAATTGCTGAACAAAATGTTTGGAGCAGTACAGAGATTCTAACTGTTCATCTGAAGAGATGTTTTGTGCTCACAAAGTTAATCAGTAATACTATTGCCATTTCTAAATGAAATCTGAACTTGTTTTCCTGGAAGGGAGGGAGTATAATGCCAAGAAATACTAGATGCAGATTTAATTTGTGTAAGAAATGCCCCATCCCTGGAGGTGTTCAAGGCCAGGTTGGATGGGGCTTGGTGCAACCTGGTCTAGTAGAAGGTGTCTCTGCCCATGGCAGGGTGGTTAGAACTATATGATTTTTAAGGTCTCTTCCAACCTAAGTCTGTATATTATTTCTATGTTTTCTATGATAAGATTTTAGTTTTATTGTTGAATTATTTTCCTGGAAAACCCCACTGGGAGACAGACTGTATTTTGGCATTTTACTTAACAATTACCATGTTCTCATTACTTTTTATGACCTAGGTTCTAAGCTTGATTCTGTAGCTGCTTGCTCCCATCACCTCCTTTACACCTCCTTTTCCATCCTCAGTAGTGTTCAACTCTTTTCCCTTCCGAATATGATTGCACCTTTCACATAGAGGAGACTACTTGATAGAGCAGGTTTTACTCAGAGCAAATTACAAATCCTATTTTCTCCTAACCTTGACTGACTGCAAGTTTCTGGCTGCCCTTGTTCCATAGAAATGACAATTTTAGCTTATGGAATAACAAAGCAACTGAGTGAATCGTCTGTTCTTTCTTCTGTGACTGCATAAGTACACTGAAATGCTCTTCTCCACACACCAGTGATCATTATTCCTGTGAAAGCAACCCATGGCCTCCTCAGAATAGATAAGGACCTTTACAAAGAGACTGAGGTTTTAATATTTATTTTGCACATGTGCATACACTTGCAAATGTGGCTCACACATAATTTTTAATGAAAACACTAGGGCAAGGCAGGCTTTAAAGCTAGGGCGAAAGCACTGTTCTACTGTTCCTTGACTGACTACTGTCAACCCAATTAATACTCTGATAATAACAGCAATGCCAGCTGAATGCCACTGCCAGAGGGCAATTTCTAGCTTACTTCTGCAAAGTATTTATCTAGAGATAATTACATATTAGCCTAATATGTTTTACTTGCAGTTGCAATACAATTTACCTGGCATCGAACCATATATTACAACTGTTTGCAATTGCACTATGAGCATTCAAAAGAACTGTAAAAAAAGCCCCACATCAAGAATGCAGAAACTTCCATTCTCATTGCAACTATCCTGTATCTTTTAGTTTTAAAACTAGGCTTTAGTTTTAATGGTGGAATGAAATGTTCTTAATAATATGAAATATAAATTCTTACAAGTATATCTGTGAAATAGAAATTAGTGTGGCAAGGTGGGGATTGACCTTTTCTCCTGGGCAACTAGCAATAGGCAAAGGAAAAATGGCCTCAAGTTGCGCCAGGGGAGTTTCAGATTGGATATTAGGAAAATTTTCTTCACTGAAGGGGTTTTCAAGCATTGGAACAGGCTCCCCGGGGAAGTGGTAGAATGACCATCCCTGGAAGTGTTCAAAAAATGAGTAGACGTGGCACTTCATGGTATGGTTTAGTGGGCATGGTGGTATTTGGTTGAAGGTTGGACTTCATGATCTTTGAGGGCTTTTCAAACCTTACTGATTCTATGATTCTTTTTTTTCCCATTATACATGACAAATAGAGTACATAATGAGTTGGAAAGTTGTAGAAGGAGTTAGAGAAAAAGTTCAACTTCAGTTGTTACTAAAGAGAGGGAAGAGATTCTAGAGATCTGGCCAGGGACTTAATGTGAGGACAGGCACAGACCCTATAAAAAAATATCTCCTCTGAGGTTCCAAGGCATATCAAAGTAGATGCAATCTCTTTCTTTCATAACAAGGAAAAAGGCTGTTCATTGTTATTAATTAGAATAATGTGAAGTTTATTTCTTCTTTGGTAAGTCAGTTATCTCTGTTAGACAATATGTCACCTCTTATGTGTGACTATTGGACTAAAAACTTCTTGTCCAAGGAAGGGAAACACTTTTTTCCCCTCTCCTTAGGTCATTATGTGCACAGATTTCGGTAAAACTGTTTTCACTGATGGATCTTGTATATCTGATCATACTCCATGGAAATAAATGTGATAGAAAAGTCTGAACATAATATTAAGATCTGGCTTCTTGCTTACTCTTGGTTGAAACCAAACATTAACCATCCACTTCTGAATGGCAACAGGTTGAAGTGATGAAGCCACAAAGTCTTTCTTCAAGTTGTGCACCCCACTTGAGATATTCCCAAATACACCTGCAGATAGGGCTGAGAGTGATTTAGGTACCTTGGATGGGTGTCAACAAGTTTCTCTTAAGGTATTTTACATCTGCAAATTTCTATTTTACTGGTTAAAACAATCTGTGACTTACTTCTCTCTGTATAAGGGTCTGTTCTGCCTATATTGTTCAGGTGTGCATGTCACATGTTCTTTGCATCTCTTCTTATAATGCTATTCATTTACATTTTTGAAATGATTTCTAAAGACTTCTTTAAAATTACAATATGCCTCAAGAATCTCATTGAAATTTTAGAAAAAAATGTTTCATATTGATGCTTTCTACTAAAATATAGTAAATGTTTATCATTATGATAATAATGTGTAAGCATATATTGGCCAAAGGAAAACACCAGGGATTCAAAGCCAATAGGGCAAATAATGTCTTTTACTTGTTCCTCTTTACAAACAGATATTCAAGAGTTTTATGAAGTGACACTGCTAAATTCCCAGAAAAGCTATGAGCAAAAAATAGAAGAAGCAAATCAAGTTGCAGAGAAATGGGAGAAGACAACATCTGCTCCAGACCATGAAAATCTGCAGAAAAAACAAGAGGTAATTTAACAGATTAAGAATTAAAATACATATAATGATTGAGATGTCTCAAACCTGAGAAAAGCCATGCAATGGTGTATAAAATTGAAAGAATGGGTTAATTAAGGAATTATATCAGAATGTGAAGGATGTATAGTGTTATCCCTCTGACTTTGATGATGTTGTTAACTTCTTCATCCTTTCAATTGCTATCTGTCAAAGAGAAGGTAAAAACCTTTCATTTTCTTGTCCTTGGTGTACCTTATCTGGTACTTGGTGTCTGTGAGTACCCCCAAAAGAGAATATATCTTCTCTACTTGCCCATAACAACTGAGATTATTAATACTACAATGATTACATCCTGTGTAAAAATTTTAATAGGACTTTTCTTATTTCCAGGGCTGACACTGGACTGAACTTTTCCATAGTCCAAAAATCAACCAGAATAATCTCTGTGTGAGGAACAATTACATAGAAGACGGTTATACACTTTTCCTTTTCTCCTGTAGCCAGTGAAAGGATTCAAAACTTTTCTTTGTCACCACTGGCTCTAATCTGCTTTTGCCTGCCTCCAGATTATTATTAGCTAAATTAGCAATCTAAACTAATAGCCTTCCCCCACATTTGTACTTCAAAGGCAAAACAAACCCCACAGAACTGAGCTATGAATTGCTCTGTTCTTAAACAGTGAGGGAGAAATAGAGTGGGCATGGACTGCAAACTGCGAATCTCCAGACCAAAATTGAAGATAAGGGCAATGTATAAAAATTTCCATTGTTGTTATGGTAAGAAAGGCATTTCAAGTTTTAAAAGTTGTTGGAAAGAACTTCCCATAGGCATGACTATTTTTAAGAGCTTTCCTCCTGTTAGAACATGTAAAACCCAGAAAGAAATTGTAGTTCTACATGACATTTTAGATGTGATTCTTTATAAAGATAAATCTGAATTGCAGGCAGCTAGAACAAAACTCTCTGAAGAAATGAAGAAATTTATTGTGAAAATTAATTAGCAAAAGAGCACTTGCAGAATTAATGAGAACAAGCATTCTGGTTTGAGTGAAATCAGAACAAATGAGTCTTAACATTAATGTAGGATATGGGATATGTCCTGTGAATGATTTAACATTTGAGTCACAGTTTGAAGGCATAGCCAGCTAATATCTATCTTTTTTTTTAGCAGAAATCTGTATGCTTTAAAATGGTTAAAGTGGATTCCAGCCTGTTTTGTCTCAAAGCATCTGACAAAGACAGTGAACAGACTCTTTATTCCAGTCTCATCACAGTGTTTGACCCTTAACCCCATCTTCCTTAAACTCATTGCTATCTAAGAGGTGTGCTTCTGGTCTTGTCTAGAGGAATTTGAACTTTAAATTCTGTGCTGAGAATAATAGCATATACAGGGCTAACTCCAACCTTTCCTCATTTTATGAAAACGATGTTCTGATTTAAAGGAAAACAACAGAAAACTGTAGCATAGAAACTGGCACAACCATTTCAAGCCAGGGTGCTGGCAGTCAGAGTCCAGGGTACCCTCATTTTCAAATTTGCTGTCTATCCATAAATTTCATCAGTGTAATGGGAGAACAAAATATTTAGTCTCTTTAAAGATCACATATGTTTTAAGGGTCCAACTGCAGGCAAACCAAACAAAGTGTAGGCTTTGGTTTTTTCCTTTTGACAGCACAACATACTATCAGCAGTTCCGAGTCAGAACTGATAAGTACATGCTGAATGTACCAGCTGCTGTACAAGTCCAATACAGTCCTTTGCTCTCTATGAGAAATTACCTTATGAAAATGTAACCAGATAATCTAATGCATCACATAAATTCTTATTCATGGTCTGTTCCTTACGGGAAATGATGATTTTGTACTTTCCTTTTCCATCCTCAATTACATGTCCCAAATTTGCAAAGAAAAAGCCTCCCTTCTTTCATAGAATCATGAATGCCTTATGTTGGAAGGGACCTTAAAGATCATCTAGTTCCACTTCCTGTGCCATAAGCAGGTTCACCTTCCTCTAGATCAGGTTGCTCAGAGCCCTATTCCAACCTGGCCTTGAACACTTCCAGGGATGGGGTATCCACAACTTCTCTGGACAACCTGTTCCAGTGCCTCTTCACCCTCACTATGAAGATTTTTTTCCTTATATCTAGTCTAAACCTATCCCTTTTTCAGTTTAAAGCCATTCCCCCTTGTCCTATCACTACATGTCCTTGTCAAAAGTCTCCAGCTTTCTTGTAGGCTCCCTCAGGTACTGGAAAGCTACAATTAGGTCACCTCCAAGCCTTGTCTTCTCCACGCTGAACAACCCCAGTTCTCCTAGCCTTTCCTCATAGGACAGGTGCTCAAGGATCTTCATGACCTCCTCTGCACATGCTCCAACAGGTCAATGTCCTTCCTGTGCTGAGGATCCCAGAGCTGGATACAGTACTCTGCAGTAAAGGCCCAAGGATAATCAATCATTCCAGAGGCCATCCCCCTTTCATGTCTTCCACTTGAAACCTTCCTTGGCTGTCTGTATGTTATTTTCCTTTTTCTTTTTCTGTATTTGTTTTCCAATTTCAATTGTTTATAAAAAGGAAAGCAGCTTTTACTGCCCAGGTCAAGTGTCTTGTGATTCTGCCTTTCTATGGATGTATGTGCTTTTCTGAAAGTGTAGGTTTTTAGATAACATAAAAGGTGTTAGGTTGTTGTTTGCAATACTGTACAAATCTGCCACCTTGCATCTGTGACCACCACAGTTTGTAGAAAACTGTTGCTAGATCTTGCAACATACTGGGACTGGATCTTCATCACTTAATAGAGATGAAAGGGTCATGACTCATCCTATAATCTCCCACCATTCTCAACCTTAGAAGAGAGACATCTCTGAAAGTCAGAGACTGTAATTTTGAACGGCCTTTGCAAAAGCAAGCGAAAAGTCAGTGGAATATAAGAGCTTACAATAAGTGTTAGAACCAGTTGCATCCAAAGTTATAGCATGAATTACCTCACATAGCACCTCATGGCTACAAACAATGGAATTAACAAAATGTATTGGGGTTTTAATGATAGTTACTGCTTTTTTCTGCCTTTTTTTTTTACCCACAGGTTTGTTTGTTTTTTTTTTTACTTGCATGCTTCTGTACTGTTTAGGTTTAGATTGTTAAGGAGCTCCTGAACCACATGAAATCAATAAATGTTTAGGTATGACCTATGCATTTAAACACCACATCCTTGCTTTTTGCTCCACTGCAGGTCATTCAAATAACCAGTGACACCAATGTTTGCAGATGCAAACTGCAATATTACCAACGATCACATTATTATTGCATTTCACTCTGTACAGAAACTAAATATATGTGGCAATGTATCTGATGGAACTGTAAATATCATAGACCAAAATAATTTGAGTGGGTGTTAGTGAAAAGGAAGAAAGAAGGACATATATGAATGGGGTTTTTTGTGTGAATTTGTCCGCGTAGTTTTCCCTCCTGTAAATGCAACTTGACAAAATCGACTTAGGTTTGTGGATGGTTTCAGAACCAATGAAACAGTTTTTGGGCCAAGTTCAGTATCCACTAGAAATGTTTACCAGGTTTTATTTGGAAAAGACTCTTTTTTGTTTCATATATTCATACAGGAAGCAGGGAATGTGACATATTAGGCACTAAATGAAAAAGTCCAACAAGTTTGTCATGATGTAGGAGCTCTAGAATATAAACCCTGAGGAAGTTCCAAACTATCCCTGTTGTCTATTCTCTTGCCCTCGGGCAGATCAATTGCATTTGAACTGTTCCTGACACGTTTGTCTAGTCTGTTCTATAAAACCTTCCACAACAGAGAGTAAACAACTTCTTCAGGTCATTTGTTTCCTCACTGATAGAAAGTATTTCCTGATAACAACCTGGTTTCTCTAAGTGCAATTACAACGTGTTAGATTTTGTTCAATTAGCAGTAGACATGGGATACAGTTTATTTAGTCCTGTTCCAAAAAGCACTTAAACATATTACAGAATCACACAGAATCATAGAATCGTTCGGGTTGGAAGGAACCTTAAAGATCATCTAGTTCCAACCCCCCTGCCATGAGCAGGGACACCTCCCACTAGACTAGGTTGCTCAAAGCCACCTCCAACCTGGCCTTGAACACTTTCAGGGATGAGACATCCACAACTTCTCTGGGCAACCTGTTTGAGTGTCTCACCATCCTCATCATGAGGAATATCTAATCTAAACCTGCCCTCTGTGAATTTAAAGCCATCATCCCTTGTCCTATCACTACATGTCCTTGTAAATAGTCCCTGTCCAACTTTCTTGGAGCCTCCTTTAGGTACTGAATGAGGGCTCCCTGTTACCATCTTTTCCAGGCTGAACAAGCCTGAGTCTCTCAACCTGCCTTCAATAGGAGTGATGCACCAGCTCTCTGAGAATCTTCGTGGCCTCCTTTGGACTTGCTCCAACAGATCCACATCCTTCTCATGTTGGGGACCCCAGAGCTCAATGCATTGCATGCTCTTGTAACAAAAAATTCTGTAATGAAAAATCTCATCTTTTGGGATAGAAAATATTTAGTTGTCTTAGACTCATCTCAAAGGAGCTATACTTAGAGGCGTGAAAGATTTCAGTTTCCAAAACAAAAATCCTTGAGGCACTGTGGAAGGCAATTAGTCTTGACAGCACAGTCACTATATGTCTATCTCTATGTCTCCAAGTATATAGAAAAAATTATGGAAACTGCTCTGGAAGATTTATTTATTTATGAAAATACTAACTCAGGGTTTGGGAACTGCAGGTTTTAATTCTTTACTGTTCTGTGTACTTCTTGAAGGACCATATGTGAGGTTTGAGAAGAGAACTTAAGAACTGAATCACAAAAGGGAGTTACAGTGCCAAGTGTCTCACCATGTGCAGATATCAGTTAAGGACCATATCTTGTGGTGCACTGCATGGGGAGAAACTGATGTTCAGAATTAAGGTCCAAAAAGCACAAAATACACCTATAAACTAGCAAGTAATGAATTAAAAAAATGGGACAAGA